GAAGATGTGAAGATGAGCTGATGTGAAGATGAGCAGATGTGAAGATGAAAAGATGTGAAGATGAGAAGATGTGAAGATGAGATGATGTGAAGATGTGACGATGAGAAGATGTGACGATGAGAAGATGTTTTACAGACCCCCACTATTGGAAGAGCCCTGCGCTCAGACGCTCTCGGGAAAATGGAACGTTGCGGCTGTTGGGGATACCACCGAAGCTTATTGAAGAATGGTGGAGACACAGGATGTCCCGTCGAAAGGGGGTGTGAAACTTCGTTTTGGATGGGACGCCGTGACATCTGTGTTCTCTACCAGTGGATGGTTTATTGCATGGTATTGTGCAGTTGGTGCATTCTGGCTATGCCGATGAGCTTAGTTGCGAGATTTGCTATTTGGAGATGTATTCGTTTCTGTTTGGCATGGTATTCTGTGTTTTGGCTGTTTTGATGAGCTGAACTGGAAGAAGTGCCATTCTGGGATGCATTCATCTTTATTCTGCATGGTATTTTGCGTTTTGGCTACGCCGGTGAGCTTAGCTGAGAGATGTGCTATTCAGAGATGCGTTCATCTCTACCTTGCGTGGTTTTGTGCGTTTTGGCTACGCCGATGAACTTAGCTGGAAGATGTGCTGTCCGGAGATGCGTTCATCTCTGTTTTGCATTGTGTTTTTTGCATTTTGGCTACGTCGATGAACTGAGCTGGGAGATATACAGCATCTGGAAATGCTGGTCATCGATGTACATACCATCTTGAGAAGTTTTCTGAGTTATTGGACAAATTGGTTCGAGACCACGAGATCATTTGAGAAGTTTCGAAGGGTTTCGAACTGTTTTGCAAGGGTTTGGCGTTGGACGATGTAGAGTTTGTGCATGGGTTCATCATTGGGTCATTAACCTTTGGCCCACGAAGCTTTTGGGTTTTCTCCCAAATGATGTCTGTTGCCATCATTTGTCTGAGGCCGAATGGTGACTGATGGGAGGAAAACCTACCTATATGGGGTTTAATGACCTATCTATCTAGATGAACTAATTAGTTTGAAGGGTTTGTAGATCTAGGGATTTATAAACCTGAAGCCAAGCAGTTTGGACGTCACTTATTTTGTGACTTTTGTCCAAGGAAACTTTTGAAGTCATGTAGGTTTTGATTTACCTTGGGAATTGTTTAGACCTGAAATCGAGTTTCCTCTGCCGATTTCATTCTCAAGGAGTGTGAGTCAAACAAGAGATAGATCATAGCACAGCTACATGAACTGACATTCTTCGTTTTTTTTTGTGTGTGTGTTGTCTCGTCGCGCAGAAAGGGGCTTGAAGCTGTCGGAGTCGAAGGTGTTGGCTCTTGGGTTCATTCTTTGGGTTGAACGGACTCAAACATGTGCACACATTGGAGTTTCTCATGCTGCGCAGCAGCAAACTCATAGCAAGCTGCCCTCAACCTGTTCCTGCTATCTTCCTCAGTCTGCTGTTCGCTCAGGACACTCTGGATCACAGTCTTGGAAACTAAGAAAGTCTTCCGCACCGAGGCGATTTTGCTCGCCCAGTTCGCCGGAAACCAGACCATTAGCGTGGAGACACGGTTAACAACTTTGACGCCTGCAGTGTTTTTCGTGTGTTGGTCAAGCGCTACCTTGACAGGACCGCTGGGTGGCCGCCGAGGATTGCCATCAGCAGGTTCTTTGGCAGCTCCAAGCAACTCGGTAAGTTAAGGATGGACCTGAACCAGCAAGTTGCATCAGGCAGTGCGTGTGGGGAGTGTCTTCATCAGGCAGTGCGTGATGCCACTTGACCGGTCGGTGGTCAGAGTAGAAGCAACCAGCTCACAAAAGAAACTGAGGTCGAGACCAAAGGCGAATTACTTGAACAAAAGGAGTGCCGGACCGACAGCGAGGAAACTTAAAAGCGGAGCAGCAAGACCCCTCCCCGCAAGAGAAAAGTCGAGGAGGCAAACACCACGCAAAAAGACAGAGAGGAACCAGAGACAAAAGCCTGACTGAGAAGCAGGAGACAAGAATTGTTGCGGCTGGAGCAGTGCTAAGGTAAGTGCCTGAGCTCGGTACCGTCGCTTATCATCTGCAAGCAGTTCCTGCCACATGTGGTCCAGCACGAAGCAGGCAGGGTCCATGTCCGCAGCTCTCTGGCGTAGAGCAGGTTGCTTCGCATGCATGTGCTCGACCTCTTCAGCTGTAGGCGACGCAGGGCCCGCGAGGCAAAGATTCGATTGGCCCATTGCGCCTGCAATTCAGTCGATGTGATGTATAATGGCGGCCGCTCAAAGAAAACCCGCTGCGATAGAGTAGGGATATCCACCTCAATGGTTTCGAACATGTGATGACATTTTGGCTTGTCATACTGCGTGGCAGCAAACTCATGCAGGTTATCCCGAAGGTGCCACTCCCGGAGGAGGCTGTTATCCGTCAGTTGGGGGGAGACACCTGCATCACTCCCTCCGGAGTGAAGGCAGGCATAATATCCTGGTGCAGAGGTCATTAACTCCATCGATGATGGTCAGTAAGCAACGCCGACACTCCCACTCTTCATCAATCCCGAGGTCGAATTCTGCAGCATGGCTGTCGACGAAACGGACAGCGACCAGGCTGCCTTCGACCTGTTCCTGGCTATCTTCCGCAGTCTTCCGTGCACTCTGGACACTCTGATGATAGTTTGAGAAACTTGCTGAGGATGGTCTTCTGCTGGAGGCCCATTTCGCTGGAAACTGCACCGTAAGCGTGGAGACCCGGCTGACTACTTTGACACCAGCAGTGCTTTTAGTATGCTGATTCAAGCTACCTTGACAGGACCAGTGGGGGCTCGCCGGCGATTGCCATCAATAGGCCTTTTGGCAGCTCCAAGCAGCTCAGTAAGGATGGACCTGAACCAGTGGGTAGCATACATCAGACAGTGGGTGTGGGGCGTCGCCAGGTCTTCAGCATGCCGCATTAAATTCCACTCTCAAGCTGCATGGATGGCTTATTAGCTTCTTCCCGCACTCTGGCAGTGAAATATGATGCCTGGACCTTTGGTTTGGCGGCTCAAAGCACTGTTGCGCGCTAGAACATATGGTGAACCTTTTGGTGGCTTTGAGGCTTAGCTGCTGGCGTTGTGCACTGCTCAGCCACGGACGTTCTGCAACAGTCACTAAGGATTCGATTCTAGCTGTGCTACCAAGGAGTCTGAAGAGCTGGAAGAAGTGATTCGCCGGGGGAAGTCTGCCTCGCCGGTTCTCAGGTTGGCTTCAATCCTGTTTGAGCAACTTTCTTGTTGGCTGCATTTAGTGCAGAGAACCAATGGGTCTAAAACACTCACCATTTTGTAAATATATTTGCGTTTTGTGATGTGTCAGATCATAAAGTTATCACGATTGGCCAAGAAAAAACTTGACTTTGCCCCGGCTCCACTCAAAGTTGCCTGACCACAATGTTCGCCCACTTGCACTTGGTGCTCTTGACACAGTGCGTTACGATGTTGGACGTTGGAGATGGCGCGGCCACGCAGGCCGATTGACAGGGTTTTGCTCCACAAAATGGCAGCGGGAAAAGGCAGTTTGAACTGTGTGAAGCTGTACACATTGGCCCTGGGTTTTTACAGTTTCTATAAGAGCATGAATGCACATGTTTGTCAATTTTGGATGAAACATGTCAAAATGGTTGTGGATTCAAGAGGTCCAAGGCAGTTGACAGGCGCTATCATTTTGTAGGCCATGCCCAGAGCCCATGGTCCGTCCTACAATTTTGCAGGGTGGCGAAGGGGCCCCGAAACCATTTTTTAGACAAAAAACTAGCGCTCTACAAAATTGACAGCTGTGACCCCACCCAGGGAAAGGCAAGGAGGATCCAATACTAGGCAGTTTGCTTTCAAGTCAATACGCCAAACCGTTTTACATTCTGTCCGGACTATCAATTTAACGACAACGTTGTTCATCGCATTATTTGTTTATTTTTTTGTTTGCAGGCAGAAAAAACACATTAACACATTTTTCACATTTGGAAGGCAGAAGAGAAACGTGGCTGCGTTTTTCCGCTATTGGAGATACATTTTGCAGCATCCACATGGTGGCAGTGTCACTTGAACAGCATTTGCATGTGGAAATTTTCATGGGTCTAGTTTAACGTTGAACTTGCGTGTTTGACAAACATGAATCCTTTTTGACATGACGTTTCTAGTTTTAGGTGGTTTTTAATTTTGATTATTGTCATGTTCTGTCAACATGCACGACATTTTGGATGAACAAACTAAGCAAATGTGTTTATTTCAGCAACACATAGTATCGAAAATCCAGCGTCGTTGATTCCAGAGAATGGCCCATGAACAAACGGCAAGAACGCGTGGAATTTGAGGCAAGGACCATGCCGATTTTGACAATGACAATGTTTTTTTTGTGGCCAGGTGAATGTGCATCAAATTGTAGTACTCCAAAAATATCGACATGGGTGTTTTCTGAACATGGGCCATTGCCCTTGAAATGGTCATTTATTGGGGAAAATGATGATGAATGATTGGATTTTTGGGTAACCCATTTTTCAGTCAAACTTGCATGGGGAAAAATTGTTGGTTTAAAATTTCATGTTCTGACACGATTTGATTTTGCCAGATTTGCTGTCGCGACAGTAACGTTTGAATGCCAACAAAATATTCATTAAACTATTGGTGTTTTATTTTTTTATTTTTATTTTCCAAGGAACCTTGTGAAACACCCTTTAATTTCTGCATGCAAAAATGACACCTTCACTTTTTAAAGCAGCGTTTACAAAGGGTTCATCGGATCATGTTTCCCTTGCGGTAGGAACATTTGATTACCAAAACGAAGGGGTTTTGGTATATTTCACCTAATTTGCTTCAAACATGTCAGCTGAGCGTGAAGCAAAACGTTGGAGTTTCAAGAATTAGATCTGGTTGTCCCTCCAACAATGGACCATCAAATAATCTTCAACAGGTCCCTTCTTGGAACCCTAATTTCGCGTGGATGTTTCGAAATTTGTTCAATGCCCAACGTGTTATTTTTCATGCCAGGCCAATGACTTTTACGCATACCTCAACTTGGAGGTCAATGCCACTGAAACCGAGGCGTAGCAAACAACTCCATGGGTCAATGATTACTGGTCAAAGAAATGCAAGAGCATTGCAAATGTTCAAAAAAAACAAGACAACAGGGTTCCGGTTCTCCCATGCCATTTGAAATTCTTGATTATTAAAACCAGCTTTGTGATCCGTATAGATTTATTTGGAATTTGGTCTGCAAAATGTTTGTTGATTCTACAATGCTAAAACTATTTTGGGTGGTCAACAGTTAACCCCGTTTTGGTTGGTGAGCACCATTTTCTTGGGATAATCAACCATTTCCCGAACAGGGAACATGACTACCTATAGTGACATCCCATTGTTGTAGGCACCTCAAAATCCGGTTATCATCATTTTTTATACAAAAATTGAACATTTAGGGAATTTAGGGGTATATCCCATTTCCGGACAACACCATTTCCATCATCGTTTAATCTCCATAAGGAATCCTTTGGCATCGCGGGTTTAAAAAACGAGGTGCGAAAACATTTCCGCCAACTGGCATTGCAGCCTGGCGTCCTGGAAAGCGGCGTCCTGGGAAGCAGCAAACATTTTTGGGGATTTCCTGGGATCTGGATATGAAAACATGGGATTTTGCCAGAAAAAATGGGGTGTGGACATGAAAACGCAGAAAAAATGTGATGTGGACATGAAAACACGGGATTTAACCATGAGGAATCGGATTTTACCGAAAAACAACAAACAGCAGAAACGGGGATTTGAACAGCAAACATGGGGATTTTCACAGGCACAGACTGATAATCGGTCTTGGGGGATGGTCATCAGTCCAGGGATTCAAAACCCAGTACACAGATTCCCATTGTTGCATGGATGACCATAAACTCATAGGCATCCAAACGATGGCACCCATGGTGAGTGATGACAAGTGGTTGATGGGTTAGGGGTTTACTCCCAGAAAGTGTCAATTTAGTGAGTTGACAGTACTGCTGGGCCAACCTTAGCATTTTAGTGTTTTTTTCCCCATACATGGGAAACAGATTACGCAGCTAGGACTGTTGCTTATTGCATTGGAACATGCTAAGCTGGCAGCATTGAAACTTCTCCTTTCATCCTGAGCACAGGGACGCCGAACCCTTCCCGGTGTTTCGGGCTGTTCCGCAGGTGGCACCCTGATAAACACCAAGAGGGCCCTGACAGGTGGGCCTAGTGATCCATCAGATTCCCGAAACCACCCATCTTCCATGGCGGCAGAATTCGCGTTTGACAGCATCCAATTGATGGGTTGCATCACCACTATTGCGAGTCAATTTTCACCATGATTTGCCAAATCCATCCTATTTATCCACCATTTGCGTTGATTTTGGGTTTTTTTTACAGGTTCATACCCTGAACCATTGGGTTTGTCTGATCACTGGCCAGACATCGGGCCACGGAGATTTTCCAGCAGCTGAACAAGGCAGGCAGGGCAGCTGGATGACAGATGGAGTTGGGTTAGTTGGGTTTCAGACAACCAAAATGGGGGTGGGTCAAAACCTATCATTATCAATTCTAATGGGATGAACATCCATAAATCCCAGCTATTTTGGGGTTCATCAAAAGGTGCCAGGCTTTTGACCAATAGCCAAATGGCATATATAAAGTCCCTAAAGTCTTATAAAGTCCTCAAAAGAATGAAAGAGGCCTTCTAAATCAGTGGGCCCTCCTTGATGGTTCAAAACCCGCAGAGTTGCTCAGGCGCATACAGTTCTGTCTGACCAACAGCCACGTACCAAGCGGTGACGGCTGAGCGGAAGGGAATACCTAGAGAAATGCTTAGTCTATACCATTCCAAAGGATACATGGTGTATAAAAATGAACAAACATAAGGACGTAATGTTGATTGGACGATAAAGCCAGCGGTTCTTATGACGATCTATTCATTTTTCCCATGCAGCCGTCAGACTAATTAGGGGTAGCCATGATCTTGACTCAGCACCGCCGCTGCCAGCCTTTTCTTCCTCATCCTTTCGGTCATGAACATGAAGATCTTTGTTATCAATCATCATTCATCATCTGAGTGTGGTTTCTTGAATTTCGGGGTACCCATTATTATACCATTGGTGTCTCTATTCAGAATGACAGTTGAACTTGGACGATCACTTGGGTTTTGATGGGAATTATTGAGGCAAAGGGCCCGCTACGATGCCGTGTGGCATCAGAGGCCGGAGATTTGAAAGCGAAAATATGGGTGGCTGAGAGGATTCCGACTTCAGGAGACATTTTTGCAGAATTTTCCAAGGGTTCAGGGTCTAATATACTGCAATTATATATATATATATACACACTGTATATCCAATTCTTTGTGTATTTTTGTCGTTTTTTGGAGCAACAAACAACTACATCCTGGCTTTTAGACGATGATTCACCCCCACAAGGTGATTCTTAAGGTGGACATATACAGTAAGCTACAGCTGTGGTTCAAGATTTTGTTTCCAGAACTAGACATAGTTCGGAAATGTTTGGAAGTGGTGATTCCTTTTAATATGGGGCTTTTCTGAAATTTGAAATATGGTATCCCGTATCCTCATTTATGGAAACCCTCATGTACAAGATGGACTTGTCCTTCACGTTAGGATTTTGAAACCACAGAAACGCTTCAGCTAGCCCACCTCCTATTTGAATGGTGTTTGGTGAAAGTATCTTACCCATATTGGTTTGTCAACTGTTTATCGATCTATCTATCTTATCTTATCTTATTTTATCTTATTTTATCTTATCTTATCAATCTATCTTATCTATCTAATCTATCTATCTCATCTATCTATCTAATCTATCTAATCTATCAAATCCATCTAATCCATCTAATCTATCTAATCTATCTAATCTATCTAATCTATCTAATCTATCTAATCTGTCTAATCTGTCTAATCTGTCTAATCTGTCTAATCTGTCTAATCTGTCTAATCTGTCTCATCTGTCTCATCTGTCTCATCTGTCTCATCTGTCTTATCTCTCTTATCTGTCTTATCTGTCTTATCTGTCTTATCTGTCTTATTTGTCTTATCTATCTTATCTATCTAACCTATCTAACCTATCTAACCTATCTAATCTATCTAATCTATCTAACCTATCTAACCTATCTAATATATCTAACCTATCTAACCTATCTAATCTATCTAATCTATCTAATCTATCTAATCTATCTAATCTATCTAACCTATCTAACCTATCTAATCTATCTAATCTATCTAATCTATCCAATCTATCTAATCTATCGAATCCATCTAATCCATCTAATCCATCTAATCTATCTAGTCTATCTAATCTATCTAGTCTATCTTATCTATCAAATCGATCTAATCCATCTAATCCATCTAATCCATCTAATCTGTCTAATCTATCTAATCCATCTAATCTATCTAATCTATCTAGTCTATCTAGTCTATCTAATCTATCTATCTATCTATCTATCTATCTCTCTCTCTAAATATTTGTAGTTCAAATACATACATTCTGGATCTCTGAATGAGTATATAGTACACCAATCTACATATTTGTTCCTTCAGTCCACTCTCTTGTTTATCCCTGGGGAGGCACAGCGGTCACCAGCAAGTTCCTGCCTGGGCTATGATTCGTCGGATGGCACCGGCACCAGGTGCCAACCGTGACGGCCACAAGGTTTACAATTTTAATGTTAGTAAAGCACTAGGATCAACCATCCTCAAAGTTACCAGTTTTTGGATCCATATGGCTGGTTTATGACATTGCTTTACTAATGTTGAAAATGGTCAGAGGTGATTCGCTATTTTTCAGTATTCAATGAGCATGGTCATGGTTTCATTTTGGATCTTTTTTTGTTCACCCCAAGAAGGCCCAAATAGAACTCATCGATGATCTTTGGCATTCAACACGGGATCGTTCAGTTGTTTGAAAATGCGGGACTTCTTGGGCTTGAGTAAACATGCGGAAAATTAGGGATCCATGACCTTTCAAAATACCTGAAAATCCTCATAGCTGTCGTGCAATCCCAGTAGCAAGTCTTGCTGTCAAGATACCATGGGTTTAAAACAGCACTTGGCAAAGGTAGAAGCATGTGCACTCCTCACCATACTATCTTCGGATGCATGCTGGGTGTTTTTCGCCCTCTTTTTTTGGTGTGTTCCCTATTGTTTGCAATGGAGTCAACATGCCTAATAGCATCCCCTCTTTATGCTCACGATAGGCTCAGGACAAAATGCATGATATTGCCCCCCAAACTGGAATCAACAATCCATGATGGTGCTCGTCAAAATCCATCATCAAAAGCCCCCCCAAAGTGCATCAAAATCAAAATCCTGAACACCACCGAAATCCATCTTTTGGTAATCACATCCCCTCAATATTGAATACCTACCCAGACCCCGGTTGTATAGGGGGTTGGTATTTGGTGAATCCCATCAAATCCCAATTTTTGCTTGGTGAAATCCTACTACTCCCTTCCCTCATTCATATAACCCCCCCTTAACCATGGTTTTTCCTCGGGATTTACACATATTTGGAACCATTTAGGTAGTGTTTCATATCTGGGGTGGGATTCAATCACCTAAATGGGTTGTCTTGGTGTCACCTAAGCCACCTCCATTCATCTCTGCTGGCAGTTGCAGGGGTCGCTACTAGCCCCAAAGCGACAGCCTCACGTGCGACCGAGGAGAAGGTGATGGGGGGCAAAAGTGGTGATTTCAAGCGCCAAAAATGGAGATGATATGCGTGAGAATATAGGCAATCACCCAACAATATGGGTTTGTTTTCTTGTTCAATGGCCAAGGAAGAACGGACATGGTTCATTTTCCGATGAGCTCAACTCTTCATTAATTGGCCAGAAAAGGGTTGGAACAAACTCTCATTGACCCAATTGCCATTGACAATTGAAGCCATTGACCAAATTAGCGCAGAATTTTAGGGGGCTGGGTGTGAGGGTAACTCAGTCGTAACCAACCTATTCTTTTGGTACTCTTTGGGTGTATCTAGCCTCCAAATGGTAAGAGGAGGTATAGCATATATATATAGCCTATTTATATGCCTCAAAAGATTTGATAAATTGGATGGATTAGTGGCTCTAAATTTAGCAACAAAGAGGACCTTGCCTATGCAAATACGGGAATTTCATGGAATTTCATCACTTTCATCCCGAACAGTAGGGTCTGGCTGGTCGCCTCGCACAGGTCCCAAAGGCCAAAGCCAGGCTTACTGGGTTGGTGAAAGGTTTGAGTAGGCGACCCCTTCATTTTCAATAGGGATCGATATACCAATGATGTTGGGATTCCCAATATGGGATGAATGACCATAAGCCATATACCATGCATGAAAATAACTGGATCATGCCTTGTCAATGTCAATGTCAGGGTCTCAAGCCGGCGCTTGTAACAAAGCATGTGATGTCTAAGTCGAGCCTGTTTTATTAACACTTGGAACATACATTCAAAACCATCGTCACAATCCAGCTATCAGGTATATAATATACACACAAATATAGTGTCACTACATATAAAACGTGCGTGCATGTAACTTTTTTTTTCCACTATATCTTATTATCTTTACATATTACATCATGGTTATACTAGTCCGGTTTAATCCATTCTTTGTAATGTATGTATAGTCTTGTAGCCAGTTTCTGGGATGCGCATCCGCCATTTTTATCTGTTTGCTTGGCAACCGATCTGTTTTTTACGTGGGTGGTTCACCCAGTGAAAGTTGGAGATTCATTGATCATTTTGATCATTTTCATCATTTTGATCATTTTGATCCTTGACTCTGCAAGTCGATCTAGTCGATCTTTAGTTCACAGCTTGGTCTTGTTTGATGCCATTTGTTCGTTGCCAGGTGTCCTCCGGAGCCTGTGGCTTCGTAGGGGTCAACAGGGGATTTCTTGATCAGCTTGCCAATGATCAATGGATATCCATAGGAAAACCCATGGAAAACCCTAGGAAAACTATAGGATATCCATGGATTCTTCAGGAGATTTACCAAGAGTCTTGGAGGATTTTTTTCCGGCAAACCGGCAAAACCGGCAAATGATTTTTTGGGTCCCTATGATTTTGGGAGATGAAGCTCAGGCACCTTGGTGGATTGCTTCACCGATCAGCCCCCCAAGATTGTGTAAAATAATTCTCATCAGCACTAATTGCTGGGTCTCTACATGCGATTTCTTACATTATTTTCGTGTTTCTTTGTTAGATTCTCATCATTCTATGCCTGATTCCAACCATTTCTACTTTTGTTTTCTTGGATTTTCTTGCATTTTCTTTTGGATTTTCTTGGATTTTCTTGGTGACAACCCATGTTCTGTTTCCCTTTCCCCATATCTGCCATATCCCAACTGCGCCCCCAGGTCAGGTCATGGCGGCTTCGTGCCGGTGGTCCCAGGTCGCCCAAGTGCGAAGGCTGGGATGCCATGGGATAGCCATCAAAATCCATGGGAAGTTGGGATGGGAAAATGCAAGGTGCATCCATGATGATACCCCATAAATGACGTTTTTTTTTTTTTCTCCCACGTATATTTGTGACACGTCCGGACAAAAAATCTGTGTCAAAAACCACGAAACCACCACGAAACCACGTTCTTCTAGAGAGAACGTCGGCGTTTTAGACCGGCAGTAGGTATGGCTCAAGATTATGTACCCTCTCGATTTGCATGCTTTGGTACCGAGAATCTTGGAGCCATGCCGGGATGGCTATCAAAATACTGAGTCCTTCGGACTGATGGATCTTGACCAATTTTTATCGATTTCATCCCATTTTGAGATGGGCGCCCAAGTTTTTTAACATTTGCACTTGGAGATTTTGGAAAAGGTTGGGCATGCTTCAAATTTCACACACCTACCAATTGTTACGGAACAACACAAACTATACTGTATAATAAACCGGTTACAGTACAAGCAATAAACGCATGTTTCTGGAAACAGCTCGAAACTAACAAATCCATAAGGATATAGCTGCTATCGGACGATTGTGGTATCCTCGTTTATGGGGCGTCCAATTTTTTTTTCGCTCTGGGAGGCTTCTGGAAATGATGTGAACTTGCAGAAGAAAGAAAAGGATTGGGGGATGGACGGCTGGTCCTGGAGAGTCTGGGCATACTCTGAGATCCAAGCGCCACGCATGGTCATGTGAGCAGTGAAATTCATTGCATCTTGGCTACACGTTGGTCAGACACTCCAAAGTTGCGCCAGCTTTGTTTTATTGGTTTGGTTAGGGATTTTGACATGTGACATTCTTCCTAGGTTGAAGTCAGGATGGCCGAAGCCTCTTGCTGTTTGTTCCCGTCAAAATCCCGCGGACACATCCGTCTTTCAACAGTCTTTCAGCGTGACGTTTGAACTCTACGGGAAGCACAGTTCAGCTTGGAATGGTTGCAGTTGTATCGGTATGTATCTACTGTATCTATATACAAACCAACTATAGATGAGACAAAGATCTATATCTAGTACATATATATCCCTTTTTATAAACCAAAAGAAAACTAAGGACAATATGGATAATACATGATATATATATATATATAATATGTGGACATATGGCTTATCCCATTAATCCAATTGGCTTAATTCATGTAGTTCTTAATTACGAACCATGGGACAATTTTTTCAGGAACGCGCTGCGGCTCAAGTGGAGTGGCTGAAGAATTCGTCGCGGCAGGAGCGCTGGGGATTTATGAATCTGGACGAATAAACTCAAATAAAAGAATATGATATAAATGAAAGGAACATCAGCTAATAAATAAACATTGTGGCCGCTGCGCGGCTATCACTTCTCCACCCGCAGACGAAGACGAATTACTTCCCGAAGATTAATTCCGAAGACAAATTTCCCGAAGACTTGTTCCCCGAAGACGAACTACTTCCCGAAGACGAATTCCCCGAAGAAAAATTACTTCCCGAAGACGAATTCTGAAGATGAATTCCCCGAAGACGAATTGCCCCCCGAAGACGAATTACTTCCCGAAGACGAATTCTGAAGATGAATTCCCCGAAGACGAATTGCCCCCCGAAGATTGTTCCCCGAAGACGAATTACTTCCCGAAGATTAATTCCGAAGACGAATTTCCCGAAGACTTGTTCCCCGAAGACGAACTACTTCCCGAAGACGAATTCTGAAGACGAATTCCCCGAAGACGAATTGCCCCCCGAAGACGAATTACGTCCCGAAGACGAATTGCGAAGACGAATTCCCCGAAGACGAATTGTTCCCTGAAGACGAATTTCCCGGAAGCCGAATTGTCCTCCGAAGACGGATTACCTCCCGAAGACGAATTCTGAAGACGAATGCCCTGAAGACTATACTTGCCCCCCGAAGACGAATTCCTTGCCGAAGACGAATTGCTCCCGAAGATGAATTCTTTCCCGAAGACCAGACCAGACAGTGTAGCATTCGAAAACGTAAGATGGCGTCTCCATACGTGCCCCCGATGCTTGTGCAGGCAGCGTTTCTGCAAACTCATGGCAAGCACGATGCGTGGTGCGAAGGCATGAGGTACGGCAAGTCTTGCTTGCAGTGCGCACAATATACTGTGAATTAATTGCGTGGCATCCGTAAGCGTCAGTCTGTTCCGTGCCTTCTTCTATCACTTTCCAAAAAGACCGCGTTGTCAAAAGAAGTTTCGCACAGACACCCAGAGTTATGATACGCTTAGTTGCAAGTTGCGATATGCCCAACAAGTAGGAATCTGCCGGACTGTGTGCTTGTGGGCTCGGTGATGTGTGGCGACCCCTGGTGCCAATGAAAGGAATATTGCGGAGCCCCCAAGCCATCAGATCCATATTTTCTTGGGTTTCAAGGAGGAAGGCGAACAAGGCCTGGATTAGAAACTGTAACATTGTTGCAAAACGCGCGGTAGTTGAAATTCAAAAAAGCAGCCACTCGCAGCTACGATTTTTTTCAAGTCTGCAATGACATCAGATGTACAAGTTGAAACGGAAGGAATGATGAAATGAAATGAACGGCTTGAAACGAAAGGAAGAGGCAAACGAACGGGAGAGATGTTTTTTTAAACGAAAGAAAGGAAGTAACGAATGGAAGGGAAAGGTTGCAACGAAAGGACGGATGCAATGAAATGGACGAGTTGAAAGGAAAAGAAGAGCAAGACGAACAAGAAAGAAGAGTTGAAACGAAAAGAAGGAAGTAACGAAATGAACGACATGAAACGAAAGGAAGAGGTAACGATTATTTTTTGGGGGTAATTTGGCCAACACAATAATAAACTGTCCAGAAAATCACCATAAAATTTGGATATAAATGGGTGGTATAAACCATCAACATATGATTGGTTCTTATTGTTTCACTAGCAGTATTGGAAATTACATTGGCTGAAAATTATTGTTTCCTCTCAGGATGTTTGAGCCATGTTCATCCCTCATGTTTTGGATGGTTAAAACATTTTGAACAAAATGTCCATCATGTTTTGTTGATGAACTTCCAATTTCTTCATGGTGGAATCCTCTGAACGGTGGGAAGGCATGATACGCAACCAAGCCATGCCAGCCATGGTCCAAGTTTCAAGGTTTCAGCAGTACCAGCGCAGAAACATGGACGCCAACTTCAGGAGGCCAGTTTGAAGCTAAGAAACCCATTATGGTATCCAAAGTTTGATCATCATTTTCACAATTTTCGTTTGGGGGGTTATACGTCGTATACATTGTTTTTTTACCCTCGGATTATTTGTGACAGTTTGCCATGAAATGATTACGGTGCCATATCTTATTGGTAAATCAGATGCTAAGGGTCGATTTTCCATCGCGATAAATTGCCAGAAAGTAAGTAGAAACATTGACCATGAAGGGGTTTTCACCCTCCTCTTTACAACCCAGTCCTGGCTGTGATCTCAAAGGTATACCAGTCCAGCCCTATTGTCAAAAAAAGGACATTGTTGATTGGGAGGGCCACACCCCCAAAAAAGTCACTATTGAATTGAATGATTTTGGATTATCATATCGTGGGATTGTTTAAGGTGATTTACTTTTCTAATGGGAAATGCACATTTTTGGAGCCATTTGGAGAATCCATAAGGAATATTTTGTGTTTGGGGGGCCTTAAGCAAATCCAAGATATAAAGTTTGGAAGATTCCCAATTGAACCACCCAGATGACGGGGTCTGAGTTTTGTGAGCTACTGTCAACATCTGTCAACATCTGTCAACCTTGATGTGCGGCAAGGCTCTGTCCTTGGAACTCCGAAGAATCCTTCCGTGCAAGGGTAAAGTCCTTAGCAAGGGTTGGTGTCCTATGTTCATTCTAAATTCCACATAGTCCTACTATGTTTCAACCCACCTGCAGTTCTCACTGCCTTAGCCTTAGTGTCACCAGGAGGCTTACTCAGAGTCTTTTCGGCAGCCTTGTGCTTGCAGTGTTGCACGTGCTTTCTGCGTTGTGCCAGGTGGAAAAGTATCGATTCCGTGGAATGGGAAAAAAAGAGCAGCCGAGAGCTCAGCAAAGGAAAAGTGACCGAACGAGCGGAAGGCAGAAAGATCATCGTGTCACAAAGTCATGTATGGATACAGCAGTGGCAGCAGTGGCAGCAGTGGCAGCTGTGGTTTGATGAGACAACGTGTGACAACTTGACAAGCTGCTCATCGCGCCTTCTTCAAGCTGCCAACATTTCAAGCTGGGTAGAAACATATTTGCTGGGGTCAGCCGGACTTGCCATGGGAAATCAAGCTTGTTGTGCCAAATCTAATGATGAGAAGGCTTGGGCTGCTTGGATTTTGAGTTGTGCAGGCAACAGCACTGTGACACAGGGAGTCTTTTCTTGGTACGATTCCTGAGATGATCTTGGACTCAGGTCCCAAGCCCAATTAGGCAGAGAGACATGTGGATTCTGAGGGTCCCTGGCAGGATATCATGACGATTCCACCAGTCAATGATCCAATGTGCCTCTGTCGGATTGTGATTTTGTTTTTCTGCACTTTCACTCTTTGTTTTTAACCGTACATGCTTCGAAACTTGCAGAAAGTGGTCAATTCATCTTGCTGCTTAGTGTCCTTGTTTGCTCGTGTGATTGCCCTTGCAACGTTGGAGTCTTTCCTTGTGGGATACAAGTGTCCGGGCAAGCTGGGGGCGGAAGTTTCAAAATTGAAACACTTATAGTATAGCCTAGAGCGGGGCAAAGACTGTGCCTATAGGATGCGGCGAAGCCTTTTGTGCTTCACAGCAACCATCTCTCGACTTGTCAATCTGACGCCATGTCTTTTGAATGTTGGACATTTTCCCATTTCATCTGATCTCATCGCATCGCAGCTTCTCTTGGCAATTGCTCATTGCATCCCATTTTCACTGCAGTCTGGCAGTCTGGTCTGTGTCATCCCATCTCATCTCAACCCATTTCATCTCATGTCTTCTCAGTTTTTTTCACCTCATCGCATCTCATCCCATCTCATGTCTTCTCTTCCTTTCTCAGCTCTTCTCAGCTGATCGCAACTGTTCTCTTCTCTTCTCATGTCGCCTGAGCTTTTCTCATCTCTTCTCATCTCATCTCAGCAAATCTCCGCTTTCTCAGGGCAGCTCTTCTCAACTCTTCTCAGCTCTCAGCAGCTCATGTCAGCTCATCTTATGTCTTCTCATCTCTTCTCTAAATCTTCTCACATCTTCTAAGCTCTTCTCACATCTCCTCAACTGATCTCAGCTCTTGTCAGCTCGCCTCACCTCATCTCAGCTCTTCTCAACGCACTCTCAAATCATCTCAGCTCTTCTCTGGCCCAAAACCTGCTCCAAAAACGGATCTCAGCACCAAACCAAGCGACCCCTGCGCTTTCCACAGAGAAGATTTTACACAGAGAAGCTTGTACACACAGCAAGCTTTTGCACAGAGAAGCTTGTACACACAGACAGAAGGTTTTACACAGAGACAGGGAAGCTTTCACGCACAGCAAGCTTTTACACAGAGCAAGCTTTTACACAGAAACCTTTACATAGAGAAGCTTTAAACGCTGCAAGCTTTGAAGCACTTTTAAAAAGTAAATTTAAAAGGAAAATCACAAGCGCCACAATTGAGAAAATCCGTTAACAAATCACTATCGCAACCTTGATGCAGCCATTTCAATACGATTTACGATGCGCAGACGCAGCCGCGGCGCCAAGGAACCTTGATGCAGCCATTACAGTGCGATCTGCAGGGAATGAGTTGCAAAGCGCAATAGAACTACGCGCAACGGCGCCAGAAATTGCAGCTCCAAAACCGGATCTCGGCGCCAAAGCAAAAAAAGACAATTTTTGAAGCAGTTTGTAAAAGGAATTTAAAGAAGGAAAATCACCGGTGTCAAAATTGAGAAAATTTGCTGACAAATCACTATATCGCAACCTTGATGCAGCGACTCCAATGCGTTTAACGATGTCCAGCTGCAAGAGACAATAGTACTACGCACGCAGCCACGGCACCAAGCAACCTTCACGCAGCCATTGGAGTGCGATCTGCAGCCACCGAGTTGCAAAACACAATAGAACTACGCACAACGGCGTCAGAAATTGCAGCTCCAAAAGCGGATCTTGGCGCCAAAGCAAAAAATAGACGATCGTGAAGCACTTTTTGAAAAGAAATTTAAGAGCAAAATCACCAGCGCCAAAATTGAGAAAACCTGTTGACAAATCATTATTGCAACCTGGATGCAGTCACTCCACGACGATTTACGATGTACAGCTGCAAAAGACATAGTATAATGCACGCAGCCGCAACGCCAAGCA